TCGCCTGTTTCCTGACCCTGCCTGTACCCAGACTATTCTGCCTTACCTGCTCCCTGACCCGGTCTGTACCTGCGACTCCCGTCTTGCCTTCTCCTGGAACCCTCGCCTGTCCCCGACCAGCCCTTTGCCTACTATCTGCCTTTTCGTCTCCTACCAGTTTATTGCCTTAAATAAAGCTGGTTACCGACTATCCCTGGTTTCCTGTGTGTTGCATTTTGGTCCTCAGCTCGTTTGTGACATGTGTAGCTTAGCCATTTTAGGCTAATTTAAAAAACTGAGACTACAATTCAATATACAACTAAAAAAGAATATCCTCTGGCAAGTTTGAGCAATATTCATTCAACACAGCCAAAATGGCATGAACATGAAAACCCGAATGGCTGAAAAATGGCCCCAGGAACTCTTAAGGGTTAAGTGACTTTTTCTTAACAATAACTGGTATTTATGATAAGCCAAAACATTTGTCTTTGACTTGAATATTTTACTGAGGAGTATACTCAAATGATCACATTAAAATATAGGACTGCTTCATGCACAGCATTTACAATTTGGCACAGGCTTGAGTGACCATTTTCTGAGAAAGAGTCACATTTTGTCACTCATTGAAGCAGTTTTACTGGGTGATGTATGTTTACAGTTTAGAATGTACTCCTTCACTGCACAGCTCTTACATTTAGATGATATACTGCACACTTTATTTTTTTTCAGTGTAAATTACCAAATTATTATTGTACTTATTTAGTAGTCACTTACTTATTTAGACTTCGTTAAAAAAAAAAATGTTACATTTAAAATAGTTTGAAAATGTGTTTTTATAATTCTTTATTTGCTCTTTTCTTTTTTTACTTGATCTCTTTCTGTCTTTATGTACTATGCACCATTATACACCAAAGCAAACTCTCTGTATGTGTCAACCTACTTGGCGATAACCTGATTCTGATTGGCAGATTAGATCATAGAAAATATAATTGTACAGTATAAAACGTAAAACAGCATGTCTCAAGTCTTAATGGCTCTTCAATAAGGACCTGAATATTATTTTAGAACACACCTGCCAATCAAACATGTAGGCCTACCTGAATATATGATCAATGACTGCCCTCTATATGAGTGACTACACCTGTGCATACTTCACTGTGTGCCTCTCCTGCTACATGCTACTGTCAGAGAGATACAGCTGAACATCATCAGCATATTAATAACTGCTGGAATATGTGTGTAAATGAATGAGCCGGAGACATCTTCCTCACTGCATCAGGATTGTTCCACCACTACAGTCATGAAACAGCAAAAATACATTCTCAGACTAACTTCTTTGAACTTTACAGCTGTATTCAGGCTGAGGCAGACTGTGGGTATCCTGCCTAACAGGTGCAACAGAACTAACAGGAGAGTGACTAAAGCACAGAACACACCTGTGTGCATATCAATGACTGTCATGTGCTTCCCTCCACACCCAGAGCATGTGATCTTTACATACTTTCTACACTACTGAATTGTACGCATGGCAGGGGGTGCTAGCAATGAAGGCTAGAAAAGGCTAAGTCTTGGCAGAATTACTGGACCCTATACTGTTGTGCACGCTGCATCAATATTGCCAGTCCACGCCGCAAGCTCAAAGTATGCTAATTGTGAACTTCTGTCAAGGTGCCTCGGGCTACAGCTGGATCTACAGTATGAGCCGTTTATAACAAACGCATTCCAAACCTCAGTCACCACAGAGAGAGCCTCGGGCTACAGCTAGCAGCAGCTATGTGCTTCATGTTGCTCAGTAATGGCGGGTGGCTCTCTAGGATGGTGATTTCTACGATTTAGATTGTGGTTGTTTGTTTGCAATCGTCATAACTTTGTGTATGCATTTCATTTGTTCAATCTAAATTCATGTAATTAGTTGTGTTTCAGTCGTTTTATAATGCTTAACAAGTAGCTTCTTCTGTGGTGTTTGAAACCATTATAACAGTTAAATACTAGCCTTTCCTATCCGGAGCCTCACATGCTGCTTATTACACAGCATGATTACAAACTGGATATTGTAAGATGGTGACACAGAGGGAACTCAAATGTGTCCTTAATATAAGCTCTATGAGGAATACTTTTCAATATGAAGTGATACATTAATAGTCCCCAACAAATGAACTTCCTTTATTTGATCAAATCTACAGTGAACAGCTGTTTAAGGAAATTGACTGGCACAGGTATTTCGGGAGAGTAAGCCTTATCGTTCAATGCTGGAAATAAGTAAATGTATCGTGGGTGGCAAACATGCAATTGAATGAGAAAAAGGGACCTTAGTTGTGACTTTAATATTATCTTTATCTCTCTGGCCTCTGAAACTCGTGTATTACTGTATTATCCCGCCTTATGAAACCAAATGATAGAGCTCGGTCTTCTCCTAATATTTAATACAGACTTCAAAGGAACAAGTTGGGATGAAGTGCAATTATAATAATAATACTTTTTTTTATATCTAAAACTAAGATGAAGTATATGTAAACCGTACCTTGCTGGTCCTGTAAGGGTACATCTGTGCGATGGGGAATGTTTCTGGACATTTCTCTATGGACGAGATGAGCGTAGAGATGTTGACGACGGCCGACCTGCTGCAGGACATCTTATCACCTGAGACACAGAGAGACAAACACCTGAATCAGCACATATGAGTTCAACAATACGTTTATTATATTATGATAAATGTCAAACTTAACGTGTGTTTGTGTAGAAATCAAAGTATTTCAGGCTGTTTTCACTGCATTACCCTTCACAGTAGAGTCCATCTCTGCAGCCTTCTGGAGGAGCGGGAGCAGCATCTGAAAAGAGAGGAGTGTGTGTGTGTGAGGTGTGTGTGTGTGTGTGAGGTGTGTGTGTGTGTGTGTGTGTGTGTGTGTGTGTGTGTGTGTGTGTGTGTTTGTGTGTGTGTGTGTGTGTGTGTGTGTGTGTGAGGTGTGTGTGTGTGTGTGTGTGTGTGTGTGTGTGTGTGTGTGTGTGTGTGTGTGTGTGTGTGTGTGTGTGTGTGTGCGTGCGTGCGTGCGTGCGTGCGTGCGTGCGTGCGTGCGTGCGTGCGTGCGTGCGTGCGTGCGTGCGTGCGTGCGTGTGTGTGTGTGTGTGCAGGCGAAACAGGTTGGTTTGTAGTCTACAATGGAAGACATTCTTGTCTCTGCTTTTGTTTACTAGATGTTCATAGATACATGATGACGTCATCATCAGGGTGTGTAGCTTCTTCTACAATCAATCTTCTGGTCAGAGGTTGCAAACAATCAGAAGTGGAAGAAGTACTCCGATTAATTACTTAAGTGAAATAAGCAAAACTACAATGTCAAAATACTCAGCTAAAAGTATGCATTAGTAAAAGTCCTGCATTAAAAATTGTACTAAAATAAAAGTACAAAATATTAGCATCAACAACTACTTTAGGTACCAAAAGTAAAAGTACTCATTATACATTTAAGAACCACATATTTGAATTTGTATTATAATTATTGGTGCAATAATGTGTTAATCACTTCACTGTTGCACTAAATGAATACTTAAATTGTTTCATATTCAATCGGGTAACTTAACCTATTATAGTATATGATCATGAATTAGTCGATGTATATTTGATCATCTAAATCAGCAAAGAAGCTAGTTACTTATTCTGTGAAATAAATATACAACATTTGCCTACAAAATGTAGTGGAGTAAAAGTATAAAATAGTATAAAAGGAAAATACTCAAGTAAAGTACAAGTACCTAGATTTTGTACTGATGTACTGTAGTAAATGTACTTTCCAGCAGTGTAAACCCTGCAGTGGTTTCCTCCTCTCATCATGACCACACGCTCACATCTGTTCCCCAGAACACAGACCTACCTTCACGAGGAGAAACGGCCCGACCACATTTGTTTCGTACGCCTCCATCATGTCCTTCTTCCCGCAGGCAGAGAGGGGGGCGGGGATCTCGGGTCTGTTGATGGCAGCGTTGTTGATGAGGAGGTTCAGCCCCCCGGCCCCGATGCTCCTGCTCACTGTCTGGACCGCAGAGGAGATGCTGTCCACATCTGATACATCTGCTCCAACACACACACACACACACACACACACACACACACACACACACACACACACACACACACACACACACACACAATGTTTATTCACATTGTAACCCTGTGTCACTAAGTGTGGATTGTATCATTGTTTTTTCTAATTGTCTGAGTCTATTAGCTTGTATCTCTGCCGATGGACGTGCTTTTGTGTCTGTTGTGTGTCCCTGGTTTTGAATATAAGGACTTTTCATTGCTCTTGTTTGTCTTATTTTAATGCCGTCAGCCTGCCAGGGACTGATTAGCCTTTCCATGATGGGCTCAGGTTAATGAATGTGTGTCTCCTCCTAAATAAATACATGTAAAACAAATGTTCACACAAACATGACCCAAGCACATGAAGAGGCAGGTGAAACTGTCATCTTTATTTGTTATAGTTACAAAATACTATATTTATTTACATATTTTCGACATACTATGCTATGTCTTTTTTATACTGTGTGTGTACTATGGTTTTTTAATACATGCTGTACTATGAATATTTTTCTGATATTTATTGATATACAACACTATCAGTTTTACATGATATTTTCAATATACTTTGCTTCGTCTATTTTAGACACAAAGAATACATAGTATAGTACATCCAAAATATTTTTGTTGAAAATATGAAAAGAATTACATATTTTGGACATACTATAATAGGTTTTTTTTTTCTCATATTTTTGACATACAATAATGTTTCGGTTTTTTTCTAATTTCGCCATACTATTCTATTTTCTTAAGTATTCAACGATTTTTCAGATATTTTTTAACATAAGGTTCTATCACTTTTACATGATATTTTCAACAAACTATACTATAACTTTTTCAATTTTTGCCAAATTATATTACGTTATTTCCTGATATTTCAACATACAATATTTGTATATAAATGTTTTGGGGTATTTCACAGATACATGAGGACGTGTAGTGTTTACCTAGCTTGACCACAGTGATCTTCCCAGGACACTGAGTGGAGAGGTCTCTCAGGGCCTGCGGGGACAATGAGAGAAAGATACATGATGAGAACAGATAGAGACAGATATACTCCAAACACAACATGTACACATGGTCTCAACACAACAGACATTTACTTTTCTTTTGTCTTATAAAAATCTAATGCAAGGAATGTTGTTGACTGCCGTTTGATGAAACATTTTAAAGCACCACCCAATCACTGAGGGACGTCTCTGAAAGTTCCCTAATCCTTTCAATAAGCCCTGGACAATGAAGCTGTCCACGGGATGGTCACACCCATGAGTTTCGTCTCTTCACTCGTTCAGCAGCGGCATCTTCCAGATTCAAATTTGGTTCAGCCCTTAAAGTATAGTATAATAGCTTTTAGTTTGTTATATGAAGGTTAAAATGTATATCTAACACTTTGTTTAAAGCCCTCTCTAATTCATCATTTATTGAAAGGGTTACTTATTTATCAACAATCCCTTCAACCCAAGAGATAGATGATAATTAATAACAAATTATAAATAATCATTTAAAAAAATCTTGCTCATGTTACATGTGTTGCTCCAGATTTCTTTTCTGTGAGTGTCTCACCTGAGCCCCCGGCCCTTGGGGGTCCCGGCAGCAGGCGTAGATGTGACCCTCCACTCCGGGGGTCTCTCCCAGCTGTTTGACCAGCGCCAGCCCGATGCCTCGGTTGGCCCCCGTCACTAAAATGTTGCCTTTGAGTTTCTCTGACATGTTTCCTGATCCACAGCTCACACTGACACTAACCATGTGAGCTGTGTGGGTCATGAACCTGATGTAGGTGTGTTCAGGACTCACCCTTGTGTATACATATATGGACTTTGTCACCTGTTTTCTTATCAGCTAACCCAACTACACCTGTCTGACTGCTCAGATGTATTCCAACCAAAAGCTGCCAATGGGCAAACCGCAGATATGCCTCGACAATAGCTTGGTCTTTTGACAGTGCAGCAGGGGTTCCCAAAGTGGGGGTCGCGAGACCCCGAGTGGGTTTTTTTTACATCCATTTTTTTTATCCATTTTCTAAAAATTATTATCAATAATAACGTGTGCATAGACAGGGGCGATAGCCATCTGTATAATTTCCCCGCAGCGAGGCTCCCCCCGTTGACAATCCACTAGCGCAGTGTTTCTCAAACGTTTTCATACCAAGGACACTTAACCAATAAAAAGACACTCACGGACCATCTAACTCAACAAATATCCAAAAACAATAGGCCTGCTTACCACTCCAACAGTAGCTACATAACAGCCTAATAATGACAGCTTAACTTCTCTATATCGCCTCGTTCACACAATAAATCAACAATACAAATACAACTACAGATTATATAAACCTTTCGTTCAAATGTCATTTAAAATGCTCTCAGGTTTTACCCCTCTTATGAAATGTAGACTACATTTATTACGGAGTTTATGTCCGAGCCAACAGACTCACAGATCGTTGGCTACTGAGAGATATGCAAAATACATGTAGTACGACACAAACCTCCACTGTGGATTTTCAAAACAAAATACAGTAAAACTATGGTCGCAGCAGGCTCAAGTTGAACTCTCTGAGGCCGTTTTTACATATTTAATTAGCTCCTTTAATTCCTGTTAACCTGAGCAATGGTCTAAAAGAAATAGACCTGTTGTCTTACCTATTCGTTTTGTAACATCTGACCTGTACAATTTTCACTGTTCTAGTTGAACTTTTAGATGGTCAGAATATCTTGAACACTGTCAAAAAGCAACATAAATTCTCAGATTTTATGACCCTAAGTTTTGTAGTTTGAATAGCTAACTATATGAACAATGCAAAAAAGTAATTTAACCAAACTATGGAAATGTGAAAGTAGTCAAGTCAAAGCAGTGATTCAACACTGTTTATGTTGAATATAAAACATGGAGACAATGAGTTTGTTTCATTCTAATGAGGAAGCTAGTGAACTGGAATGAAGTGAAATGAAATCAAAATGGAATATAATTATATATCATAGTGCAGATCCAACCAGGGAAGGAGGCCAAGCTGACACACACTCACGCACACTCGCGCACGGTTAGACATGCGCGCGGAGCATCATCCGCCCACAATCACAGAGAACAATCAGTCCTCTGATATATGCCACAGTCTCTTCCTTCTAAGTTTCACACTGTCTCTGAACCAACAGGGCTCTGAACATGGACTTCATCGACACTCAAGAGATGCAGATTCATGAGGAGAAAGATTACGGTACATTTGTTTTGGGGATAATATGTTTTTATTTGTATTCAAAGTACCTTTTTGAATGCCAGATTTGTTTATTGAGGCTGCTATAGAAGATGCATGGATTTCTAGAGCGATGGTTGCAAGGGAATTTGTAGATTTTTTTACTTTCTTTTAAAGACATATTTTTATGTAATTTTGAGCATTGATTAAAAGTTATATTCTGTATATAATTACAGTCTTAATATTTTTATAAATTATTCTGTGTGGCCATTTTTAAACCATTTGTTATGACGATTATACAATTCAAATAAAGTAAATATACTTGTAGAGCATCTGCCAGTAAGGCCATCTCAGTAAAAACAATACAGAGTAGTGATCGCAATCTGTTTTGCATGTCTTTTGCAACACAGATTGTTTCCTGCTATTCAATTGTAAAGAGGGTTCCCCCTCAGCTCAGTCTAGATATCATATGTTTTCTTCATTGGAATTTTACATTTAGGAACACTGCCCCTTATGAAACAAAAATATATTGTAATATATTGGTAAATATAATACAATATATTGGATCATACATTTCCATATATGGGAAAGTAGTCCTTATATTTTTAAATATATTGCAATATATGCATGGACCATGTATGGCTATATATTGATACATATAAAAAAAATATATTGCAATGAAAACAAAAACTGCACTATACATTTATATGTAATAGTTTTATTGAAACACTCATTTATCTTTCATGAGTTACACAAGTTTACATAAAATTGAACAGATATTCATAAACAGTTATCTCACTTCGTTTTGTATAGTTACCCACTTTATATATGAACATATGTTTGATGGTAGCCTATATATAAAAAAAGTACAAATTGTCCATTGAATGATGGAAAATAATATACAGTTTATAAATATATATAGACACACACATATATGCACGCATATATATATGCATATATGCACGCATATATATATATATATATATGCATATATATATTCATATATATATATATATATATATATATATGCATATATGCACGCATATATATATACATATATGCACGCATATATATCTATGCATATATTACGGCCGACCGGCTATTTGGAGTGGAACGAAGCCCATCCACGGCAGACAGGCCAAACAGTATTCGAATGCGCCACTTCCGGCTGATTTCGGGGAGCCCCCCCCCCCTCTCCAGCAATAGATTGATCTGATTGGCAGATTCAAATCTGCGTTGCTGCCTCTGTCTGTTGATTCTGTCGCTGAGTATCAAAGAGAAAGCATTCATCAGGTGCTTCGAAACGGAAAATTAAAAAGAAACGAGAGGAAAATACAGCACCAGAGTCAGGTATGTGTGTGAGCATTTAAAACTATTTTAAATTGAAATAATTCTGCATGTACACTACAAGTAGTCTAGTTGCTTAATCCGTATGTCCCGTCTCTCGGCACTACACCAGCTACATTAGCTAACGTTAGTTAAATTAGCTATGTTAGTTCCCTCGTGTATGAGTGTATAACCGGTCCGCAGCTTTGTGAACATTCAATTTCGAAGATTTTCGATGTTACTGAAGTCGACCCAAAACAGCCAAAAATAGCGGACCTTTAGATCGCTAACATTTTAGCATAAGTCAATGGAGTTTAACATAGCGAAAACTAGCCCCACGGCTAACGGACATTTTCTGACTGTTGACGATGATGAGCTAGTTAAGTAATGTAACCACAGTTAGTCTATGTGTTGTAAATTCCCCTTGTTCTCCTTGATCTGCATTATATCGTTCGTGTTTTAGTCAGGCACATTTAGGGACAGCTAATGTAGTGCAGCTATGGGTCCTCGAGCTGGTTACATCCATGGGTTACACATGTGCGTTCAGGACAGGAGATTATTGCGCATCGTCACATGCATAATTACCATCGTCACAGAGAGAATGCGTTCGTGAAGAATGTGAGCATATATGCAGATCTTTAGTGTTGTTAATGTTATAAGATTGTATGCATAGTGTCCTGCTGAGTCAGTGTGTTAATGAGTCTTGATGTCCCGTTTTTAGTTGCTATGTTGTTCAGGAATTGAGCTAATGCTAGCTAGTTAGCTAAATTAAGCTATTCAGATGAGATGCTAATTTAGCTTTTATTAGCCGTGTGTTTGCAACGTGTCTAATGTGTTTTAGCAACAATTAGTATTGCTGTTGCTTATTATTAATAACCATAGTCTGGTTAGTTATTGTAATTTGAACCTTATTTCTATTTCTGTGTATTTTGCAGAAACCATTCATTCATTCTCTACTCTACGTTATCATTATCATCATACTCATCAACCCATTCAACATCCTGTATGTGATTCCACATCAAGCATGATGTATTCTGTGTTGATGATCAGAACCAAGCTAATATAAAGTCCAAAGACTGTACTTCCTGTCTCCGTGTCAACTCTCTAACCGGAGTGCTGTTTTGAATAAAACGGCTCCAGCACAAACATCACAAAACACATAAGATTCCCCAATACTATGTGTTCTGATGTTAGTAACTATGTAGGCTAACATTAGTTAGGCTATGTGTTGTGGACTAATGCATTCAAGTTAGTTCACATTTTAGTTGTTATTGCCCCTGCTGACAATTGTGTGGATAATATGTAGCCTACAGTCAATGGCATTTCACATTTTGCTCTCCAGTGTATGTTATTTTAATGTTGACCCATAATACTATATATCTATATATTTTACAGGAGCATTGTTGAAATTCATAGGTCGAACTAAGCCTGCAGAACCACAAGTCAAGAGGACAGAGGAGCCAGATAGCAGTGGTGACTGAGACAGAATAAATAAGGAGAGAGGGCCCATGCAGAGAGGCAGACATCAGTAGTGAGGAATCAGACCCAAAAGACACGAGGACAGAGGAGCCAGATCGCAGTGGTGAGGAACGCACTGTCATTTAATTTCACTGTAATTTTACTTTTCACATATCACTTTATTCACTATTCAGCTTAGTTATCCTTGCCATGAAGGAATGAATGATTGAATGGATGAATGTTCTATATTATTTTAATGACAGATTGAACCACAGCAATATTGTTTTAGAGATGTTATATGTTTAACTGCTATGCCTGTCATCTCTGCTCTGTGTCAATGTGTTGTCTCCTGGGTTCTGTAGTGCCCGGAGTCTGTCTTTTTATTTTTTTCCTCCCAAACCCCATCCCCTCAGGACGCCTTTTACCTCCTGTCAGGTCATCATTGTAATAAGAATTTGTTCTTAATTGATTTTCCTGGCTAAATAAAGGTTCTACTACTATTTATTCAGTTATTTTATTACTGGTACTGCTAATTGCATTATGCGTATTGTTGTATATTGTATATACGTATGTATTTACTACTACTACTTACAAAATCGAGGGTTGTAGCTTTGTGTCAGTACATATTTCAGGGTTTTTCTATGCCTTTGTTAATCTAAATTCTAATACTCATAGGCGACTACCACTCCTGCCGATGCCGAGGCCCAGTTCTCCCTTCCCACCACCCCAGGCTCATTGTGCTAGGTAAAACTCTCATTCAATAAAAGTAGTCTTTTAAAGGTGGGGTAGGTAATTTTGGAGAAACCAGCTCGAGTGCGCTAGAATTTGAAAATACGCACATGACCAATGAGGGCACGAGATAAGTTTGTGCACAGATGGAAGGCTGACAGGCAGGTAGGCCATCCAGTTATTTTAGCCGGGCCGGCTCAGATGATTGGTCGTGCTTTTTACAGTATTACGGCTTCCACAGATGATATTTTTTTATGGATTTTTTGTCAAAGCACTTCAGATATTCATTGCTATCGGGATGTTAAGAGCATTCCATGGAATATAACACAAAGTGTATCTCGAGCCGGTTTCTCAAACTTACCTACCCCACCTTTAAAGATGAATGCAATTACATTTAAAAAAGTTTTAAACAGAACTGTTACAGATGCAGATGCTTGGTCCAAATTCCATAAAATATACCAACCAGTAGCGCCACACTCAGACGAAAATGTACAAAGCCTATTCTTCCACTATTTGTATTCCCACATTATTCACCAAGCCAGCCCATGCTTTAATATAGATATTATGGATATTGTTATAATTCCTGCTGTCTTTTGTGAACTTCTAATTATTTGTAATTGTTCTGTTCCACAGATGCTGTAGTAAACCACCATCCAGGGACCAAGACATCAGATATAAGAACATCCATTAACACAAGAATTTGTGAGTAAAGGCACGAAAAAAACAAGATTGACGATCAAATAGGGTACAAGACTGTTTTTTTGGCCCTGTTCCGGACCTTGTTTTAATGAGTGATCAGCTCATGTTTAAAGTTGTCACCAGGTGAAACAAAAAACAAGATTGTTAAATAGGATAACAGACTGCTCTTTTTGGCCCTGTATGAAATAACAATGCATCATTTATTAACTATACCTATACAAAATGTAATACATTTTCCCTTCATTATGTAATAACACCTCCTTTTGTAATAATTTGCCCATTATGTAGTAAACAAGTTCAATGCAAATATGTAATACATGTCGCCACATTTTGAAATATATTATTACATATTGCTGTGGTTATTACAAAATGAGTTGCAAACAATAACATTACAACTGTTTATTTATTTATTCAACCATGAATCATCCTTACTCATAATTTAAAAATACTTCAGTAGAATATCTTTCATTGGCCAAAACTAGATCAAGTGTTACCATATTCATTAGCCAACATGTATATCAACATCAATTTTGGGATATATTTACAGTTTGGTTATGGTTACATAATGAATATTACAGTTTTTTAAAAGGGCAACTCACGCATTTTGTAATAACCATTGCAAAATGTAATAATTTATTACAAAATGCAGGGACATTTATTTTATATTGCGTTCAGGCTGTTACAGAATGCAGCAGATTATTACAAAATGTGGGTTTTATTACATAATTACATAAAAATGTTCTTGAGTCATTCCATAATGTGTTGTTTATAGGCCTTTTCTTTTATTCGTTCCTTGTCCTTCTTTTAATGAGTATTTTGATAACTGTTACACATTGATAGAAAAAAACAAATTAAGCTTCTCATTATTCAGACTCAGCTCTCAGCGCTTAAGCTTCTTTTAAATGTTGATAAAACCAAGGTAATGCTCTTTTCAAAAACTAAAAAAGACACCAGAGCCTGTTTTAGATATTGTAATTACGCAAGGAATAAAACTTGAAGTGGTTGCCTGTTACAAATACCTTGGTATCTGGCTTGATGATTGTCTCACTTTTAAACTTCATGTCAATAACCTGCTTAAAAAAACTGAGGGTTAGGCTAGGTTTCTTTTACAGGAACAAGTCCTGTTTCTCGCTTGAGGCCAGAAAAAGGCTCTGTGACCTTTTTACCTGTACTGGACTATGGTGATCTGATTTATATGAATGCACCTGCCCATTACCTGATCAAGTTAGATGCCGCCTATCACAGTGCACTGAGATTTGTGACAAACTGTAAAGTATTAACCCATCACCGTACCCTGTATGCAAGGGCAGGTTTGCCTTCACTAACTGTACGGAGGCTCAGTCACTGGTACATTTTTATATACAAAGCCATGTTAGGGAAACTTCGTTCCTACATCTGCTCCCTGATCTCACGGCGAATTGTAAGTGGCTACTGCCTGAGATCGAATGCTGTGGTTTTATTAAATGTGCCAACTGCTAGGACTGTCTTAGGGAAGATAGCATTTAGATGCGCAGCTCCGCTAACTTGGAACAGTCTGAGCAATTTGGTTCCACTAAATGTTTTTAAAGCAAGGATAGATATTATCCAATCGGAAACTGTTGGAACCTGTAAATGTTACTAGCTATGTAAACTGTAGTCACTGTAAATATGCTGTATGATGTCCTTTTTTGTTTTTCTGTTATGTTTATATGTATTCATGTGGAACCTACTTGCAGCAGGTCACCCTTGAAAAAGAGATCAATGATCTCAATGGGATTCACCTGCATAAATAAAGGTTTGAAATTAAATGAAAGATTTTTTTTATCAGAACATGCATTTCTCCTCATTGTGAACATATATTGCACTCATGTTCAGAATATATGGTACGTACATGGTCTTTTATAAATCTGAATATATATATTGCATACATGTCCCCATATAATTGTGAATATATAGCGCATACATGTCCCCATATAATTGTGAATATATATAGTACATGTCCCCATATAATTGTGAATATATTCTGCATACATGTCCCCATATAAATCTGAATATATAGAGCATACATGTCCCCATATATTTGTGAATATATATAGTACATGTCCCCATATAATTGTGAATATATTCTACATATATGTCCCCATATAAAACTGAATATATAGTACATACATGTCCCCATATATTTGTGAATATATATAGTACATGTCCCCATATAAATGTTAATATATAGTAAATGTATGTTCACATATATACACAACCAATATATTATATATATTTACATATATTACTCAATATATGGAAAGCGGCAATTACTGATGTATTATCCCATATATTACAATATATTATCACAATATATTATTCAATATATATATATTGTAATATATTAACACAATATATTATTCTATATATCTTCAATATATTTTCAATATATTTTGTAGATATGAATAAATATGTTTTTCATGTTGATTATTAATCAGTATCACTTGGTGTAGCCAACAGCAAGATTTCCTTTATTAAATCTTTTCAATTAACCAGTAAATCAGAAAACAAAATAATGCAATATATTGACAGTTAATATATGGGGAAATATATTTTCTTTGCGTAAGGGGCGTTTCAAATTTTAAGCTGCGATTGCATTAACGGTTGTAATAAAAACAAAATGAAATTGATACAGCCAGGGACTAATGTTTTCTCGCCCTCCTCCCTGGCGCAGATGAGGCAGCAGGTGTGGGGGAGATCTGACTCTGTGTGTGGGCCCGTGAGCGGGACACAGAGCTGGAGATGAGGACTTTTATCTCTGTGGGTGGAGGCGCTGATGGAGGGGACTCCCGCGGCCTCCGCAGCAGGGTGGCACTGGGCAGGATGAAGAAGCTGCTGTGGACCAGCCCAGTGGACACATCCACACGGACACGGAGCCCGGCGTGTGGCTCACCAGCTTCCAGTCACTGGACACGGATGGGCAGCTCGAGGTGAGGAAAAAACAAAAATGACTGACCTGCTTTGTTCCTTCAATGCAGTTTACTGTAACAACTTCTCTTGATGTCATGATTTTGTTGTATGGATGTCAGGCATGGACATCATGCAAAGAAGTGAAAGCATAAATACATGTCTCCACTCCACTCTTGGTCAAGCAGAGCAGGACGGATGCCCACACACACAGTGAACGTAGGAGGGTTTCTCACATGTAGGAGGATTCACCATTGAAACATGGAAATATTAAAATGTGTGAGAGCGAGGAGGTGTTGTGATATAATCTTAAAAATGTCAACAGATTCAAATGCCAGAGGCTATATTTGTCTGTTGTATTGTAGGGAAAAGACCAATTGTACGACTCTGTCTGCATGTACTTCTCATCAGCGTTAGCAACGAGTCCCCATCACCAAATCCTATGGCTGTAATTTCAGTGCTGATTTATCTGTATTCCTCTTGGATTAACTGTTTGGTGTTTATTTTTTTAACAACAGTTTCCAAGAGCTCAGCACATTATCTTTACATTCCTTGTTTTGTCCATCCAGAGATGTTAGATATACAGTCATTTAAAGAAAAAAAACAAAAACATGACAAGCAGCCAATCTTTACTTTGTCAAAGCTATAGCCAGCAAATAAGTGGTCACATTATTTTATTAACTCATTGAGATTAATACTTAATCCATCGTCAGGATTTTTGGTGATTCATTTTCTGTCAATAAACAAATCGGTTAACGTTAATGCATTTTGTCCCGAAAGCAAATATTTAACATTTTGATTGATAATCAACTTTTGATACATTTTTCTAAATAATGTTTGATAAATGTACTGGTCAGCTGAGTAATCCCCGTCGAGGCAAGCACTGTAATTCTCTCCGGTTAGTCCACCAGCAGATGACAAACACCCACCTCGCCGCCTCTTCCAAGGAACGAGGGGGCCGTACGGCAGAGTTTCAGTTTCAGTTTCTTTCGCCGGTCAAGATGTCCGTTAAAGTTTAAATCTTCCGAACAAAATTAGAAAAGTGCCAGTCAAAGGTCTTCTTTGTTATTTATTGAGCTTTAAAACAAATGAATAACGACTCTATATAATAAAACACGGAGGACGGAGATCTCTTTTTCTCCCCCTCTTCTGACAGCCCAGCAGCTGATCAGAGCACGTCTCCCCTCTCCTGCAGGGGGGCGTGGTCAGCAGAATCAGACCCGTAGACAGCAAACAGCACATAGAGCGAAATGAGGCATGGCTAAAATGCATGATCTGTTTGGTATTTTGAAAACAGAAACGTATAAATATACCTTATATAGGTATGGCCCTACAATATATCATTTAAATATAGCATGATAGGTCCACTTTAAGGAAGAAATCAAAGGAGTAATAATGATTTTAGTGTGCTTTTAGGCTAAATGTATGCTGGTTACAGCTTCTCCAATGAGAGTATTTTACCCTTTTCCTTTTTCTAAATTATGTGAACTGAGTAACATTGGTGTTTTGACTGGGGGTGTTTCTCAATCGCGAGTAAAGCTGCTGCAGAGCCACTATTTCAAGCATACTACGTCATCGAGTGCCGCCGAAGTACTGTTCCAATCTCCAGCATACTTGGAAATCTACCGAGCCCGGCGTACTCCGTTTGGAGAAATATCGAGGCTGCACATGAGTAGACTCCGCGGTCTTAAAATCCCCACAATGCTTTGCGCACGGACCAATTTTCCCAAATCTGTGGCGGAAGATGTAAGGCGGGGCCTCTCATATGACGCACACTTGCTAGCCTGTTCCACTCTTTGTTTTCCGAATGTCAGGAAGTATTCTTGACTCGCTTCTGAAGCAAGATGCTCGGCAGACATGTGCTACCAAGCAAGCGTACTCGCTATTGAGAAACACCCAGTGTCTTGGACAGAACAAGATTTTTCACAAAATTATAATATATGGCAGGCAAGAGAAAATATTCAAAACGTTCTTAAACTCAGTATAATAATCTTTTGAGGTAGTCTGGGAGAATTATTGCCACAGCAGAAGTCTTGATTTTGTATTGATATTTGTGATTTCCTTCCCCTAGACGTTGGTAGTGGGATCCTACCTCATCGCCCATGGCTTCTTCAGCGTGTACGCCATGTGTGGACACACTGTTCCTCTGCTTCTGTGAGTACATTTGAATTCAGTCAGATCTCCTCTTTTCTTCCTTTTTCCAAGCACTAATACAACTTCCTCGAGCTAAAATGCATGTTTCTCCTTCCTGCCATGTTTCTGACTCTTATTCTCTTTGTCTCATTCCTCCCATTCGTTTGACTTTATTTTTATACACTCCCTTTTATTTCATGTTTCCCTTTCCCTTTCATTTTCCATTAACCCAATAAAAGAAAACACAAAATACACATCCCCGTAAACGAAAAAAGGTGAGGACCTGGAGAGAAACGACGGCTCGTCAGACAGGCCTTACTTCATGTCGCCCGAGCTGCACGACATCCTCTCCGAAACCAAGAGGGTGGAGGAAGACCACGATGGGGTCGAGCAGGGTGATTCTGCTGATCCTGCAAAGCCAATGGATGAGGTGAAACTGGAGGAGGAGACCCCTCTTCAGCAACAAGACGGAGAAATCCAACTGAAACAGCAGACGGTGCTCAAGCAGGAAAACGAGGAGGAGCAGCCTCTGCAGGCCACGACTGATACCGAAGAGCCACAACAGGAGAACAAAGAAGAAGAAAAAGTCAGTCAGGTTGAGGAGGCTGAAAAGAAAGAAGAAGCAGAGGTGAAAGAAGAGGTGGAAAAGCAGGAGGAAAACACCGAGGAGGCGCCACCTCCCGCTGCGGAGGCTGAGAAAGAGGAATCTTTGGAAGATAGTCCTCCTTCTGCACCACAGGAGTAAACAGTAATGCAAGGGCAAATAAATAAGGTTAACCTCAAAAAGTACTGTATCTACAACGTGATGTGATGTGGGCATGTTAAATGTGCGGCATACAACAAAAGCTAAATATTTCCGATGTGACAGCTTGGAGGTCAAAGAAGGTCAAAAGCCCAGTTGCATCTCTGTAGCTTGAACAAAAAAACGCTCTCTTGTGTTGGTTTTAGAACAGTGTTGGTTTTTATATATCGTGAAGATCTGTAGAACTTTGTGAGTGCTGAACCTGTGCCTGATTGCTGTCTCTGATATTTGTTGTCTTAATCCTGTTAAATGATGCACTGCAGAACCACTACGTACCGTGTTTACAGCCGGAACACACTCATGTCAATCGATGGTGAATCTCTTTCACTGTTTACAATAATACCAGCTGACCAGCCAAAATGTTACAGACATATTTGATAGACTGTATGAATATTGGATCTTTTTTTTTTCCTATGAAATGTGTATATATACAGTAGTGTTCTTCAATTACAAATTGTTTCAGCTTCAGTCTTGTAGAGATCCAAGATGGGATCCGATGTATTGTATTGCCACCTACTTGCCTTGGTATTTTTGACTGATGTAAGTGCTGTTAGTGTCGCCATGACGCAGCCTCTCTTTGGACCCCCCCCCCCCCCCCCAAAAAAATGTTTACTAACCCAACCTGCATTGCTCTGTCCCTCTGTCTCTCTGCTGCATGGTGTTGACATGGCCTTCTGAATGCTTGCAACTAGCATCTCAACTCTATGGATGCTTTTGTACACTTTGTTTCTCTTTTGTCGCCTTGTGAAAGATGTAAGTTACTGATTGATGACATTCCATATTTATCGGATGTAAATCTTGATTAAACGTGATTGTATTTAATCACAGTCAGTCATTCTGTTGTGGGTAATCATGAGCTTGAAAATGGTTTGGCGTTTGGAAGCAAGTGAGTTTTCATGAACACAAAAAGTCAGCAACACATTTGTATTTGTCTTAAAGGGGATCCCCAACAATTTGACCAGTTAAGGGTACTTGACTTGCCATGGAGAGTACTGAGTCTGTAAAACTGTTTCTAAAAGGTTTTGATGCTTTGGGGAGGCTTTTATAAACCTTAGAAATAAAGAAAAGCTATTTGAAAGCCGTGAATATTTGCTAACATTCAGATTGAGACGCATTATGGGACGCATAGTATACTGGGTTTTTTAAACTTGATCCATATTAGGGACTAAAACCAGGATATCTCTGCTGCAATGACTAAGCAGTGGTTTGGAGCTTTTTGGCTTGTGATCCTTTAAAATGAAACTACTTGTGGCCCCTTATCGCTGGTTATTAATCTTATAAATTCAACCAAAGAATAAAAAAAATTAATTCTAAGAAGGTAGGGTCTTTAGATACTGAAAGAAGGAAAACGAGAAAAAAAATATTGTTTCTAATAGAAATTAATACTTCAAGTTCAAATATATTTGGGCCCAGGTTAGGAACTACTTAATAACTGGGTTATCCTCTTACTTTGACCCATGACATCACTATAGCATGTGGTTACAGGCGGGTCCAATAGGGCGGGCTAAAACACTGCCTAACTGATATTAAATGACTCTTTTAACTGTCTCTCGTTGGTCTCCTTACTTTGTAAGGTGCAATGTTAAGATAATAATAACTATTTATGTTATGTTTCTCGACATAGGTGTCATTAATGCTAGGGACTCTGGGTAAGAAACTTTTGACCCATTTTGAGAAAGTTTATTCTTGTCCAAGTTTTCCATTCTCTCTATGAGCATGACAGCCACGCTGTTGAGATGACTTTGCGACATTGAAGAGGGAAGCCAGGTTTGTCAGGCTTCTCAAAGTTGTTGCTAACAAATGTTAAGCCTTTAAGCCTACACTAGTTGTGGTCTGAAAAAAGGGTACCCACCACTTTTTTTAAACATGACGTTTCTGGAGTTACTTGAAAGGCAAAAGAGATTATAGAGAGCCGAGGCATGGAAAAGTTAAATGACTCTACCGAATGTTGTTCTTCAACTGCTTCTGCTCATGTCACAGTGGAGGATCTGGAGCGCAACGATGGATCAGCAGAGAAGCCGTACTTCATGTCCCAGAACCTGCTTAGCATCCTAAATAAGTCCAATGAAGAGGTAAAATCTGTAGACTAGGTCACGTTGTGTGTGTGTGTGTGTGTGTGGGTGTTTGTGTGATGGAAATAACAACAAAAGAAGAGCGCCATTTCCTGTGTTACATTATGTATGTATGTTTGTGTGTTGCTGCCAAATGAGATTCATTAATGTTTATGGATGATAATATTGATCCTTTAGGATTTTGTTACAAAGCCTTAAGTTCATTGCCCGCCTGCATTTGCCCAACAAGGAGGATATACATCAGAAGGAATATGAGACTTCCCTTTCAGATGAAATATTGTTAATTTAGGCAATAGTTGGCCTTAATGTACAGTGTGAAGGATTGTTGGGGATTTATTGGAGGGAATGGAAATAGTATTCGCTTTCATGTTTTCATTAGTGTATCACTTGAAGCTAAGATTCCTCTTCATGGAGTCAGCTATGTTGCACCACCATGTTTCTAGCTCAGAAAGGACAACCCAAACTCTGACTCTAGAAAGGGCCGTTCAGGTAACTGTAGTTCCCCTAGTTATGTAATAGGAGGGGTGGGGGAGCGGTATTCAGACTATTTCCATCTGCAACCTCACCGCTAGATGCCACTAGATCCTATAAACTGTTCATTTAAAAAGAAGAAAAATCAGTTTTTGTTGTACATTTTGTTCATTGTTTTTGTCACTGTGTGTATTCTGTCATCAAGTTGATGGGATGCTTTGAAAGGTCCAGTGAGATACAGTTGATGGCAGGTAGCATGTAGATACACGTGTAAAGCTCTGCTTACTAAGTATATTGCACTGTTTGTTATTAGCACACCAAACCAAAGTTGCTCAACGCAGGCTAATAAAAGCTAAGTATGTTTCTCAAAGCCTTAAGAGATTACAAATGAACCAAGTGATTTTACTTGGACTTGCAGTCTTCATTTCTATGGACCTATGTTGTTTTGTGTTCATATAAAACATATCTGTAATGAATTTGTAAAAGTTGTTCTTTTTCATTTTGTTGTAAACTAATTGTAATTTCTTCAGAAATTAATAAAATCTTAATAAAAATGTGTGTTGCCATATAAGTGTTCAAAGGGGGAAAGGTCACTTATTCTTAGGTTTATTTTGACACAATAACCTGGATTATTATTTTATTTGATAAGTGTTGTTCTTATTTTGATAATGCTGACATATAAGATTTAGATACAAAATCATTATTGAAGAATTGTCCGTTTGTTAAATGAGACCATTAAATATTTGAGATCTTCTAATAAATAAAAGAACATACTTATACATATTAATAGCTTACACATATATAAGTTAGTAAGTTATTAATATTTGTATAATTAATCCATAATGTATTTACTTTGAAACGTAAACTTTATTATGTAAAGTTATGAAAGAAGTTTAGTTTTAGACATCAAATAATAATCAGTGAAATGGCAGTAAAAAGTTATTAATTCATGCTTCCTATATTTGTCCATATGGAAGATTATTTATTAAATGTATTTATTTATTTATTTATTGCCAGTAAAAGCATTACAGTTTATTTGCATGGACTGTGTCAATTAATAAATATTGCTCTACGTGCCAGAATTAGCCCTCAAGAGTGCATAACAAATTAGTTAAAACAATGATCCTCATAGGTTATTTTATATTTAATTATATTTCATAAGAAAACACTACATTTAGTTTGGAAATATTTTTTTTTAGTAAGAATTGGCTTCGTGTATGTATCCCACTTTTACGGCCATCAACATTAGAATATTCAAGCTGATCTTTCATAATTAATTAATTAATGTATTTTTAAGCATGGTCTTTGATCAATAAAGACATATCATTATTATATTTAGCACATGAAAAAAAATGTCTGTAAAATAAACTAAAGGTCCAGTCAGAGGTGGGAGAAGTACTCAGATCTTGTACTTAAGTAAAAGTAGAAGTATTAGACTAGAGTAGGAATACTCAGTTACAAGTCCTGCAGTCAAAATGTTACTCAAGTAAATGTACAAAAGTATTGGCATACAAATATACTTAAAGTAGCAAAAGTAAAATAACTAATAATGCAAATTGACCCATTTCAGAATAATATATATTATATGTTTTTATTATAATTATTTGATGTTATCAAAGCTGGTAAAGGTGCAGCTAGTTTTAATATATATATATATATATATATATATATATATATATATATATATATATATATATATATAAAGACATGGCATTGTACAAATTAAAAGACAAGAAATAAACAAGAAAGTAGAAAATATACATGTTGAATATTCAAATTAACAATAACAAGATATAAAGCAAGGTATTATATATGAGTATGTGACAGGTGGAATATTAAATATTAAACTGAATATATATGTACAGTGAAGAGAGAAGCTATGGAGCATGGCTCTGCCAGCCAGAGGTGATTTGTTGTACAGAGTTATTGCAGTGGGCAGGAATGTTTTCCTGTATCGGTCCTTGTGACAGCGGAGCTGCAGCAGTCTGTTGGAGAAGGAGCTCCGCTGTCTGTCCAGCTGCAGGTGGAGAGGATGGGTGGTTATCCATGATGGACAACAGCCTGTCTATATACTGCATGGTAGCTTGTGAATTTACTCCAGGTGTAACTAAAGTCTGATTTAAGTGTTGATTATATTTCACATCATTAACCCAAATATGTAAAGTAACTAAAGTTATTAAATAAAAGTGGTGGAGTAAAAGTACACGCCTCTGAATTGAGGAGTACAAAGTAGCATAACATGGAAATACTCAAGTAAAGTACAAGTATCTTAAAATTGTACTTAAGTACAGTAGCCTACTTGAGTAAATGTAATTAGTTACTTATCGCCTCCGTGGCTCTAGTCTAGAGTCGAGACGCTCAGTTTGAAACGAGGAGCCTGACTTCAGCGTTAGTGTACAGGTTGCTAGGCAACACTGGAGACTACCAGAAGTCTTCGTGCAGGTCAAGATAGGCTAACGCCGACTGTTGTCGGGTTGTATTTGCTGCCTACCTGTACAACAATAACTCAGCACCAACATGCCGTTCAGTGCCGACTCAATGAAACCTCCGCTGCATGACCAAATAACGGAGATGCAGCGTAAAATACAACTTCTGGGTAAGTTTGTTTGGTCTTAGCGTCGACTTCTGTTCAAGCTAAGGCAGGTGCTAGGTAGCTAACGTTAGCTTCCGTTTATGGTTGTGACTAGCCACTGTAAAAACATACACTAATACCAGATAAACAGCAATTAGCTGTGTAATTTGTGAATAATTACACGAGTTCTCCATATGTATCGTGTGTATTTGTGTCATAATTATGTATGTCCACCAGAGGGCGACAGAACTGCGTACTATGAGAGCTCTCAGTCCACTATCAAGAAGAACCGAGAAACCATCCGCCAGCTGAGGCAGGACAACAAGAGGCTGTGCAGGAAAATGGCCGACGTAAACGCTGTAAGTCCTTTAAAAATAGAAAGGGAACTTTCCCAGCTCTTTTGCTTATTTTCTTTCATCAATATTATAGTCAAATGAGCAGTAAAACCCCATTACTGACTTTCTTGCCAATAACACTCTTGTACCCATTGGTGTCTTGCTCCCAGGGGGATGCAACTATCATCAAAGTGGCCTTTCAGAACAGAGGGTTGGAGAAGGATGCCTACCGCAACATGTCAGGGAAGGTGAGAGGAAGAAGCATTATTTATTACTAAAAAACGCAAATATGTTGTTGGACTATTTGCACTATAAGTTTTACCACAGATAAAAGGACAGTTCCCCCAACATCTGTATGTATGTCCGGGACTTTTCTCAATGAATATAGCTTGTACAGTACCTGCTTACCAAGTGGACTTAATGATCCAAACCTTATGTAATTTAAGCAAACTCAATGTTTTAGTCATGGTCATGGCAGCTTGCTGAAAAATGTCTTATTCCATTATAGCTTTACCACACTCTCTCTGCCAATACTCTTTTCTCAGGCAGCCCTGACCACGCTCGACCAGAGAGTGCTGTCCAAGACGAAGCGTCTCAACGCCCTTAAACACACCACCCAGACCTTGCAGTGCCGCCTGGATGAGCTGAAGAAGGAATACCAGAGGAGTAAACCAGAGGGCAGCAGTGGAGCAGTGTCCGCCGACACTAGAGCTCGGAAAAAAGAGGAAGATGCCATGGTGGATACCTCTCAAGCTCATGCAGAAATGTTTGAAAAAGAAAATCTGTTATGCTAATGTTCACTCTTAAATGGGCCCTATTGTGCTTTTGGGGGGTTTTCCCTTTCCTGTAGTGTGTTATATAGGTTATTGTGCCTGTAAATGGTCTGCTAATTTTAAAATCCCAAAGTTAGCTTCAAAAGGAGTTTGCCTGAAACGCCTCCATTGGACTCCTTTGTTTATTTCTTTCACATAATGACATCACTATGTAACCCTCGCTCTTCTATTGGCTATTCTACGTGATAGGCTAAGGGGCCGGACATCTTTAAGCGGTTGACCAAATACAACAGATGTGTGTGTGTGTGTGTGTGTGTGTGTGTGTGTGTGTGTGTGTGTGTGTGTGTGTGTGTGTGTGTGTGTGTGTGTGTGTGTGTGTGTGTGTGTGTGTGTGTGTGTGTGTGTGTGTGTGTGTGTGTGTGTGTGTGTGTGTGTGTGTGTGTGTGTGTGTGTGTGTGTGTGTGTGTGTGTGTGTGTGTGTGTGTGTGTGTGTGTGTGTGCGTGCGTGCGTGCGTGGCCCAGGCTGAAAAAACCGATAGAAGGGTGAGCAAAACGCGGAGGTGTATATTGTACACTTTATCGTAGTGAATGGTTTTGTTCTGGTGGTGATCTCTTCTCTGATCACCATCAGAAATGCAAAACAAACATATTTATAATGCATTTTCATCTGCTTTTAGCACTGTTTAATCAGTCACTCATAATGCTTTGTCACAATTTTACATTACAAAGCATTTTATTATAACTTTTTAGCACATAAATCATAAAACGTCATAATCAAAATGATGTAGTGAAATTGGAGTAATCAAATGTGAAACAATGACTCTAGCACTCCCATAGTTAGGCCATTGTCCTATTCAGCAGCTAGGGAAAACGTGCACACACTGCAGATGTTCCGATGTAGTTCATGTGAAAGCCCGTCCATGCTCCGACGTGTCTTTCATTGTAAAATGTAATAATTCATTTAAAACGCAGTTAATCCCGAAATCGACCAAAATATCCACTGAAAACTGAAAATTAAACTTTATAAAAACTGCCACTCCAAATCCTGAATCTTATGCAGGAAAAATTATCCAAAGTAAGACTATAATTTGTGTGCATTGTTTTTTATGTTGTTTATTATTATTGGATCACAACAAAAAAACAAAAACAAATCAAATGTTCTGTTTTATTACCTTGTACTTTAGCCGCTACAATACCCAGTTATTATCTTGCAACAGTGATTTTAAAGTATTACAATTATGAGAACTATATCAAAAAGTCAGTGACTAGGAATGATGAAGTATTTATGAACATTAATTCATTTCTAAATAATTATTTACACAGTTCTGTGAGCAGAAAATAATGCATTTTAAATATGCTTACAATTCATTAAAGCTATGGACGTCAATGAAAAGGCTACAAAATATATATTTTCAGTGAAACAGAGACATTCTTTATAATGAAATGCGTTTTCTAACCTGCGGCACCTGTAGGCTCAGAGAACAGCGATGCAGCCCGACGAGCTGAGCAGCGAGGCTCAGCGCAGCAGCCCCAGGATAGCAGGCGAAGAGGACAAGGTCATCTCCACTTTTGAGGAGGCATTCCGACGCATCAAGGAGGCCACGGGAGTCACAGACATACAGGTGTGGAAGAGAAAAAGAGAAGGATAGCCTGTGAACTGTGTACTGTATTAATATTGTAAAAAAAAAATATTTCATGTGTGTGTAGGAGATAGTGGAGCGCTTCATCTCACAGAAGGAGACACACCAGCATCTGGAGAAGCTGAAGGGAGAGAACGAGACGGTACTGCAGCAGCTGAAGGAGCAGAAGGAGCTCCTGGACCAACAGTTCCAGGACATGAAATACTCGGGAGAGGCTGAACTCTCGAGGTGAGACACTCAAACAGAAGTGGAACAAAAGCCTGCATGCAGCTGTAGTGTTTGTTCTCAAGCTCTTTCTCTGTGTGTGTGTGTTTTCTTAGTGACAGACAGATGCTGGAGGAGTGTGAGCTGCAGCTGCAGGCTCAGCAGCAGAGGTGTGATGCAGATAAGGAGCGTCTGGAGTGGCTGGTGAAAGCCCTCAGTACTGTGCAAGCCGGAGTGGAGCACCTCGCAGACAAACTTCAACACATCACGCTGGTAAATACCACCTCAGGCGTCAGGGCTGTAGGTCTATGTTTTTGCCACTTATTTTTGTTACTTGTTATTTTTAAAGGAATTACATTTGTATGCAATATACGGTCCTCTTCAAGACTTTTTCATATATATTTTTGCTTATACAGAAGCTAAATTGTGAGAAAGGTAGCAGTACAAGGCCAATTAAGACAAACAAGGAACTACAACAAAAGTGGGAAAAAACTACGGAATCTAGTTTTTAATTAATAAATGTTTTACTCTCTTATATTCAATTACAAAATATGTCTATAGGGTTATCTTATAATCTGTATTTTCCTTAATATTTGTCCATTTACGTATTCCCTACCAACGCATCCATCTTTGGTTCTTATTCCATTTCTCTCAAAAGGTGTGTTGACAATCATAAGTATGTGTGTTCACCGTTCTTCCGTTTCTCTCAGAGAGAGGACACGGTGGCTGAAGTGTCTCCAGACTCAGATGAGTTTGTGTTAGAGCTGATGACCCAGTGTGAGCTGAAGCTGAAGTTACTGCACGAGGAGCTTCGAGGAAAGGATGTGTCTGCTATCATGAAGGAGATGGAGGAAGAGGAAGTGAGTCGACGCCACAATCATATACACTCATTCAAGAAATACAGGCACTGTTTTTTTTCCCTGACGTAAATGAAGACATATCAATCTTTTTAATTGGTGCACAAAAATTCACCGGAATAAAAAAAAAATCAGATTTTGGCATGGAGGTGTTGCTGACGCACACAGTGCACAGTGCTACACATGAACACAGCATGGCTGAGCATGTTAGCATGGAAGCTGCTGTGCGTGCATATCTTATCTGAATGGAAAAGCAGCCGTTAGAGCCACCTGAAGTGTTTGTTCCAGATTACCAACGCTCGACAGCACCCTCTCTGTTTGAGAACATATGATATCAGAGTGTACCAGTCTGAAGGCCATTTGCTAATGACATTGACTGTTTTACCCTCAGATCCATTTTGAGAGGCCATAATCTTTGTAATTGACGTAACTGTGAGCTGATATCTTCCAGTCTAGTTTTGTTTGATTCAAAGCTACCGTTAGAAACTAGTTGGCTGTCCCGGTCAAGAGGTTGCACCTCTACCATAACAAAGTACATTTTTCCTTCTAGAAACCTATCATATCATATCAGTTACATGGCATAGACATGACTCTAAAACTCCTCCACTTATCCTACACCAAACTACGTTAACAATACAAGGCATATATAAAGGACCAGTATAATAATGTAAAAACTACAAAAACAAAGGTTAGTGGTTTGTTGTATACATCTGAAGAAAGAAATCTCTCCTACAACTTCAAACTGGCTCTTTTCAAGTTCTTTTCAAAAAGATAGAATAGGACATTTTAGATACATGTGAAATTATGTTTATATTATAAGACTTCAAAAAGAGAGCCTCATGTGAAAAACTAGAATGGCACCTGGAGAGCGCAGACCTCAGCTGTGGTGCATTCACATGCTGCTCGGACGGTCCCACTTCCAAAGTTGGCACCAACAGAGATGCTTCAAAGAAGTGTTTGATTTGATTTACATTCATCTGCCATGTTTCTGCCTGACATGACATCATCTCAACATGTCATGTACCAAAATGTTTCCAGACTGTTGGATGTTAAAACATTGAGGGGGCATTTACAAGATTTTAGATCACCTCCAAAATGTTATGGGTTGTTCCTTGGCCAACTCTACAACCTTCCTACAGATTTCATGAGAATCAGACCTGTAGTTTTTACATGAATTGCTGACAGACAAACAACCCAGCTGAAGACATAACGTCTTTGACAGAGTTCATAAACCTAACGTTTAATGAATATTAATTTCCGTTTTTTTGGATTTCACATTTCATTCTGCATTTGTCATAAAAAGACCAACGTAAAGTCAGATTATTTGAGAAACTTTGAGAAGTCATATTAAAATAAAACATACATCTTCAACATAATTTTTGCTATTTTTCTGAGCAGTTCTATGTCAGGATTGAGGGAAAGCTGCCGGAGTACAACACCCGCGTCAAGCTGCCTGAGGACCAGAGTCTGGACCTCTTCAATGACGGTGAGTTGGAAGCCACAAACACAGACAGAACAATTCCAGCACATAATCTAAACTCCCCATGTTTGTGTCTCAGAGGACGACAGTGAAGAGGACGAGGCTGACGTCATGTCTCGCGAGGCACTGAAGCGCCATTCTCAGATGATCATTGAGTCCAAGTCCAAGAAGAAGCCCTGGAAGAAGAAGAAGGGCAAATTCTGATCGCTACAGTGTCAGGACTCTGATCTCAGGACCCAGATTTCAAATCGCTATATTAATGTTTCACCGCTCAAATTAAAATTAGTATGTGTTGCTACAAATCTTTGACAAATACAAATGAGATTATATATTTTAGAAATGAATTATTAGCCCAATTAAAAAGCTCTACGATGATTTTTGTTTAAATATATGTTAGTACCTTTGAAATGTGTTGTATAAGTGTGTGTTTTGACAACAGTAAGGTTCTCTGTTGTTACACAAACTATTGGTCCTTTGCTTCTATTCACAGTGCACAAGTCCACACTCTGCATGGTGCCCTTGTAAAAAAAATACAAATATTGCTTTTACTTTTTTTGGTATAATCTGACCATAAATGTGGGTGAAACCAGTCACTTTTGCTTGAAGGCTTTCTCCGTTATTGTCCTGCTATCCATCGTGAACGTAATAGGGTTGTACCTTTCAGAAATGATACAGGTCCCTGAAAGCCAACACCTTTGACAAATCCAGCCAAGTGAATCACGTTGACACTAGAGACATATTTGCTTTGTCCCAGCATACCGTAACATGTGAGCGTCAACACCTGAACTATCTCTGCTATGCTCAGCATGTCAGAAATAGCTGTGCCTCTTTGCTCAAATACTTTGTGGTTGCTGTTAGGTGGATTGTTTGGTTTTCTTATAATTAGCAAAGCAAAACATCAGAGTGTAACTCAATCATGTTCTCTGTGTTTAATTGTCCAACTGATACATCTGCCATTGAGTGTCATACAGAATTCAACCAGACAGACAACTATGATTGATCAAATACATTATTGTTTAATTCTAAGGGTTTGGTGCTCCTGTAGAATTGCATTTGTGTGCTGATAGTTATACATTATAAATCAAAATCACATTCATTTAAAAAAAAAAATGGGGTCCTGAAGAAAGAATTAACAGCATGCCCACATAAAATCAATCTCCTAAAATAAGACAGAAAATGTTATCATAGAAAAATAGATTATTTATACAAAATCAATATTTAATTGGATTTGACTCAGTCACATGACACACACAGAAGAATAAAAAACTACAAAAAGCAAACATTAAACATGGGTCAATATTTTTTACAAAATAACCTACAATACATTTCATCACACATTTGGCAAATGCATTATAACTGTATTCCTGCCCAATATTTTGACAACGACAAAGATTGTCTATCTATGCTACACTACACATTATTAAATCAAATATCTCAGAAATATTAAAAGTATTCACTGATGATTAATAAATAACTTTTCTCAAAAGTTTAAAACGTGCCGATTGTCCGTGTTTACCTGTAGCAAGGGATTTCATTGGTGCGTTGTTCGATCAATCTGTGAGCGGGGGCGGGTCTGTGAGCGGGGGCGGGTCTGTGGGTGCTGGCTGCTGCAGATTTTGAATCGCCGCCAGCAGCGTGAGAACCATCAGGCCTCCAATCCAACATGTAGTACCATCACTCTGTAGAAGACGCTTTGAATTATGAATTTGTCACGTTTTACAGATAAACCCTGTCTGAACAATTTACTGATAACTACTAACAGGTAAGAAACATGTAAACTAGGGCTGTCAGTCGATTAAAATATTTAATCGCGATTAATCGCATGATTGTCCATAGTTAATCGCGATTAATCGCAAATTAATCGCACATTTTTTATCTGTTCTAAATGTACCTTAGAGGGATATTTTTCAAGTTTTTAATACTCTTATCAAAATATGAGTGGACAAATATGCTTTATATGTTTGTTTATTATCATTTGAACAATGACAAATATTCTCATGAATATTAAACACAACAACCTCTGAACATTACAAATATTCGCCTCAATTCAACCTGGAACCTCTCTCATACAATAATACTGTGTGTGTGTGTGTGTGTGTGTGTGTGTGTGTGTGTGTGTGTGTGTGTGTGTGTGTGTGTGTGTGTGTGTGTGTGTGTGTGTGTGTGTGTGTGTGTGTGTGTGTGTGTGTGTGTGTGAGAGAGAATGTGGAGACACTGTGATGGATCGTTGGAGCTATGTGTAGCTCAAGGCATATATGCTCGAACGTGTGCTGCCTGGACGCTGCAATCATGTAGCGCGTACTATCCGTGCTGAGTGCGCTGACTTTTCGTACAATGTCCCACTGTCTGGCTACCTGCATAAAGTCAAGTGCTCGGCGCAGTTGTCGGCGAAATGTCATTGAAACAGCTCCTTATATCCGTTAGCGCAGCTAGCTAGCACCAGATGCTAACAACAACAACACGTAAGGTGTGCCTCGCTCGCGCGAGTCGCGCCACACTCCCTCCCGGTCCTCCCGATGGCCAGTCCGGGCCTGCCGGTGAGCGTGGAAGTGTGGTCTGCCACAAGCGGGCGGCAGGAGCTGGGCTGTCAGCATCATCATGTAGATGGTATTTTAAACTCGATGCGCTCTGAAACTACGGGGCGGCCGAGGACAAAAAATACACATGCGTTAATCGCGTTAAAATAATTAGTGGCGTTAATTTTTTTTTGCATTAACGCGTTAACTTGACAGCCCTAATGTAAACCCATCACAGCCAGTCGAGTTCAGGTTAGCTAATTATTGGCTACACTCCAGAGGTGTGGACTCGAGTCACATGACTTGGACTCGAGTCAGACTCGAGTCACTAATTTGATGACTTTGGACTCGACTTGACAAAATCACAAAACACTTGCGACTCGACTTGGACTTGAACACCAATGACTCGGGACTTGACTTGGACTTGAGCCTTCTGACTTGAGGTGACTTTATAATTTAAATCAGGGGTCTCCAACACGCCGATCGCGAGATGCCGCTAGAAGAGCAGACTCCCGTCGGGGAGAGCAGAATCTTCAGCCGCTGCAACTCTTGCTGTGAATCCATGCAGGCAGGGGCGGGACTTTATTTTGCTGAGCCACCATGCGGCCAATCATATGCGAGGACACACTAGGATCATACCATTATGTGAAAGAAGGGTGGGGGGCAGACGCTCCAAAGACAGCAAGTGTAGTGGTACAGGCCAGCTACACAGAGCCACGGGGAGACGGGGAGACGGATTTAAATGCAAACGCGTCGGAAAAAGTCAAGAAATTTGCGAAAACCGAAAAAAGAAGCAGCATCTGGCTGCATTTCAATGATATTGGAGAAAGCAAAGCTGAGTGCAGGATTTGTAAAATGAAAATAACCTTCAGAGCAGTGGCGTCGCCTGGCCTGGGCATCCGGGGCTTTAGCCCTGAATGTTTTTTCTGTAGCCCCGGACAATTCTCCCTCAATAATATAATACATTAACCGTGCTTTACGTGAACCTCATCATGACACAAGAGAGGACGGCAGGACTGTAATTTCCCGTGTTCAGTGAATGCAACAGAGGCATGACACCAGACCAATCAGAGAGTTGCATGGAAATAAACGTGTGCTTGTGTCATTCAAGCTCGGCTCTGTGTGTGTGTGTGGGAATAGCGCATTTAGTGTGATAGAGAGAGGGGGAGGGAGGGACCGGTGCCAGCATGGACCGTGTTGTTAGCATCTGGTTAGCTAGCTGCACTGACGGACATAAGGAGCTGTTTGTTCCACAAGAAGCTGGAGGAGAGTCCTCTCCCCTCAGACTGAGAGACTCAGGTGAGCTAAAGGACTCTCTGAGTGTTTAGATACTTAACTTTAGTCTAAGTTATCTCAGTGGGTCTCAAACGGTTTGGTCACAAATTATTCAAAAGATTATTTTCGCGGCACACCTTCATATGATCATTATAGTTATAAAAAAAATAAGAGAATAAAGGAAAAACAGTTATGAAATACTATATGGCAGTAAAACAAGAATAGAGTTTAAATGGGGAGTGATTAGTAAAATATCCATAAAGAAAAAGTACATCTGTTTACAGTTCTGCTTCATATGGGTGTTGAGAGAGGTATCCATAGATCTCTTAATTTTGCTCTCAAAGTGCACCAGATTGATGCATTTAACTTCAATATTTAAAAAAAAATCTTCCCGGGGGAGCATCCCCCCGGACCCCCCTAGAGGAGGTGAGCCCCCCACTCATAAAAAATACCACTTTACCCCTGCCTATATGCCGTGAGCTGATTATCGAGCCTTCGTTGTAACGGTCGCGGGTGTACTGTGTGTGTGCGTGTGGGGAGTGTTGCAGTGAAAAATGCCACTGTAGTGCCGCCGCCACTGTGGGCTAAGCCCCGAATGTTTTCAGGTCCAGGCGACGCCCCTGGTTAGAAGTATTAGTATTAGTGCAGGAGTAGTCTTTTTGGAGATGGCAAGGCATTACAGCACACAGGAAGCTCTGGACATCATCATGCACTCTGATTGCGAGGATGGCTCCTCATCCTCCTCCGTGGACTCTGAGGCTGACACAAAAGAGGCCTCAGTGTGTGTTTGTTTGTGTTGCACTTCCTCCCTAAAATATGAGGAAACATACAATGAAACACAATGAAGATGACATTTAAAAATAGACACGACTCATATCTTACTCAATATGTATCAACATGTCAAAACCACTACTGTGTGTGTGTGTGAAACATGAAGTTATATTCCCACACTGCCAGAAAGTGAAGTATTCTGAAGATTACTCGGACAGACTGCCGTACTAGTAGCTCTGAGAGAAATATACATCCTGCTCTGAATGAATTCAAATAATTAACTTTTATAATGTTTACTATGTTCACTAGGTGGCTTAGCATGTTAGCATGCTAATATTTTCTGACTATCACTAAACACAAAGTACAGTAAGGGTGATAAGAATGTCCCTAGTTTAGTTGCAGGTATTTGGTATATTAATCAAATGCTCTGGGATTAGACTGTATACATAACTTAGTAGTAGTAGTAGTAGTAGTAGTAGTAGTAGTAGTAGTAGTAATAGTACAGGTAGGCCTACATTCTGAGACTCCATTGTGTGCTGCACGCCTCACAATATAACACAATATTACAACATGACAATATTACACAATTTGTTTGGACTACATCCCCCAATATTTAAACGTTGTATAAAAGATGTGTCTTTCTTTTTTTTTAATACGTTTTACGCAAGAGCTTCCCCATGTTCACAGTGTGAGTTTGCACCTGGCGCCACAATCAGTGAAGAGCAAGAGTTCAAAGTGTTACCATTTATGGTCATTAGCACCATCAGTAGTAGACAAAGTACACTGGTCTTTAACTTCAGTAAAGGTAGTAATATCACTGGTTAGAAATACTCGGTTAAACATCATGCATTCACAATCTTACTTAAGTACAAGTATAAGCATCAGCACATATAAATACAATTGTGAAAATACTCATTCCTCACAAGAGCAAAAATAATACACATCATATTATTGTTTTATCATTATTGATTCATTTGTTCATCGCTTTAAAACAATGGCATGTGAGTTATGACTCAGGTTAGTTGGGAGTAAAGGGTCTGACATGGTGACAGAGTCCAGAGAGTCAGCAGGGGGAGTTCCGGGCCGATGGGTCATCACAATGTCAGATTTGACTGCTGTTCCCTCTCTCTCTGCAACTGATCGTCACAGCTGGTTTCTCTTAATCATACCCATGTCCTGCTCTATTATACTGTATCACACACCAAACAGTACTTTGCCTGAGACAGATGAATCCAGCCCTGCTTTGAGATATGATTCTTCATACAGAATATTCCCTCACCTCATGTGTTGAAGTCAGAACAAAGGACAAAGGTCCTTCCTGCAGAGGTCAGGCTGTATACCCCCCCCCCCCCCCCCCCACACACACACACACACACCCACAATACAGACTGTGCAGATCTTGGGAAATAAAGACACTTTTCTTGAAATACTGTGCAATAATCACCTTTATGTGAACACCATCAGTGTAATGAATGTCCCAATTTCTTTTCTTCTTTTTAATGTCTCAACACCTTACATGACAAGTCACGGTGGTTCTGCAGGAACGAGTCTTAAACCCAAAAATGAGTTAACGTTTTAGCATTTCGTGACTCCCTTGTCTCGAAATAAGGTATGTGGTTAAAATATGTTTAAGACATGTTCTACAACATGAAATACGTCATTAAATACCACATGGTGAATGTCTGAAGCTTCATAAACAGCGGTTGCTAACAAGTGTCTAAATGAGACTACTAATTGTCATTACAATTAGTTTAGTCGGTGAATGTCCGAAGTTTGTATGTTATAAAAATAGTGGCTTAACACGGACTGCGTTAAATGCATTTCATAGCATTGCATTAGCTATTTACTTCTGCCGATTGCATTTCCACTTCAACTTTTGGAAAAGTGTTGTTAATCTGTGAGATGATCCTGCTGAACAACATTTATGAGTATCATGTTTGCAAAATATGTTATTTTCTGCAATATTCAAAAATCCAATGGAAAAATCCCATTTCTTTTTAATCGATGGAGACCTTGCTATGCTACATTTTGGGTCGGCCTACACAAATATGTCCTCACTGCACCGCTCTATAGAGGCACTGCCTTGGGAATTCATTTGAAAATATAGAAACAACATACAACAGGCTTTAACAGTGGTATCAGTTTTCCTTTAATTCATCTTTACGGACAGACAAAACAATGGCACCAACACCGGGCTTAACGTGATAAAAGCTTCAAATTAGGGACATCCCCTTTAAAAAGAATTATCATAGCAGAATGAAATGTTAATACAGCAGCTGAACAGCTCATCTTTAAAGGTGGGGTAGGTAATTCACTTCAGAAACACTTAACATCCCGATAGCAATGAATACATGAAATGCTTTGACAATAAATACATACAAAAATGTCATCTGTGGAAGCCGTGGTACTGTAAAAAGCACGACCAATCATCTGAGCCGGCCCGGCTAAAATAACTGGACTGGTGCACAAACTTATCTCGTGCCCTCATTGGTCATGTGCTCGTTCGTGTGTGTTGGAGGAGGGGCTCTGTAAGGAAGTCTGAAGGAAGGGGCAGATTTTGTTCGGCTAGTTTCAAATTCTAGCACACTCGAGCTGGTTTCTCCATTCTTACCTACGCTACCTTTAAGCTGTGAAGTCAAGTGATGTGAAATAATAAATATAGCAAGCAAATAAAGTAGTACACCTGATTTCTTACTTTCCAACATGCTTTATCCCCTTCTCTGAAGAACAGAAAGTGTGTGTGTGTGTGTGCAGAAAATATCATGCATTTTCTGGTGAGGTGGGCAGATAAACTCTGAACCATGTAAAACCCCCTCAGGTATTTTGCTTCTGATGCACAGGAGATGCACTGAGCTCCCTCTAGTGGTGTAAGGTGTGCACTACACTGAGAGCAGTGGTTCAAGTCAGTAATAACATATAACGGTTTCAACACATTCCATAAGTACATTTTATCAGCCAAAAAACAAACAGATAAGCTTTTCTGGGTCTCAATTTAGAAACCTCAACCTCACTAATGATGACATCATGTTCATGTCTTGAAGCAAAACCATACAGCTCAATACTGTAAGCACTTTACATGCGGACCAGGACCCATGTTTATCAAACTTGTAATCAAACACAATAAAAAAAATTCATATTATGACTTAGAATATTTAAAATCAAGTAAGATCTCTTTAAGTGGCTGAGGGCACACTCCTTATAGAAGGCAGTATAGGTTATATGTATAGCATGTAATGTGAAGGAATAGAGAATAGACTTGTTTAGGGCAGCTATTTCCTGCTGCTGCTGTTCCAGTATTATGTAAAGATGCACATTTAAAAAGATGTTAACCCACGTAGTTTCCTTTTGATCATACGAGAGCTTCACCGTCAGTGAGGTGTGTCGCCAGCTAAATCGGTATTCTTGTTCTCATTTTGTATGAATAAAACATTTGATACAGGCATTTAAACGCCCCAGTCAGTTTTCAGTCTCTGTTATAAGTTTGTTTTTTCCTTTTTTAAATGCGGCCTGGGTCCAGACAGCCTTGAAAACAACACATTGGTGGCTGCAGCCGACTGTCCCCTGTTCTCTGAGTCAGCTGGTACCAGTGTTAAGGTTCTCATGTCCTGAAGGTGTCAGCGCCTCCTCAGGTCCCGCCTCAGTTCATACTGGACCTCATGCAAACAGTTCCAAACACTGTTGAGTCCAGCTCCCTGTGACACTCCACATGTGACACAAAGCCATGTGTTTCTGTCCACTTCATCAGCTCCACCTGCTCCTGTCTCTCCGTCACTCAGTCAGATGTTGATGTCCCGGACATCTGTGGGTGTCGTTGAGAGGTCCTGCTCCTCGCTGATGTTCTTAGTTTCCATGGCAACTGAGTGTTGGGGTTGTTGTGCCTGTCTGAGGCTGGTTTCCAGCAGCGCCTCGATTTGTTCCTGACACGCCCTGAGACAGTCCTGCGGACAGAGGACAGGTTAGCGTAAAGTCAGACATTCTGTGTGTGTGTGTGTGTGTGTGTGTGTGTGTGTGTCAGAGTTCCCGTTAGCCGGTAATTACCGGACAATGACCGGTAAAATATGCTGAAGTCCGGCAAATCTAAATCTCTCCGGTCAAAATGTCCGGTCAAAATAATTTTCCCTTAGCGCAATACCGCATCAGTTGCGCCACTTATGTGACAGACAAGAATAGTATGTGACAGACAAAAGAGTATGTGACAGACAAAAATTGTCAATTCTAATGTCTAACACTTAATGTGGAGAAAGAGATGTCCTGTATGGGTTGATTGTGCGTTGATCTGTTGGTAATGCCTCGGGGTTCCGGTGGGCATGTAAACAAATGCATAATGCTGCGCTATACTTTGTGGCCTCATCCGGTTGCATAGCGACGCTTATTGTTTAGGTGTCTTTTAACAAGCAGGTAGTCATATCATTAGCTAGAACTAGCTAGATCTGATCGATATGGACATAAATGCGAGTAAAGTCTAATCTGACAGGAGAGAGAGATCGGCTGCTGCTGACGAGTCGACACGCAGCTCTGCATGATCCCCTGCAGCGGCGAGCAGAGCAAAACACACTTCAGGTTAGAAAATCACACGTAGCTATTTTAATTACCTCTCAAACTACCTAAACTAGTTATAGATATGTTTAGTTTTACTGTCGGGTCACTCATTACTGGATCCGCGAGCTGCATGATACTGACGGGCTGTCAGGAGAAGGAGAGAGCGCTCCGTTTATTATTCCCGCGTTTTTGTAAATTACTGTACACTTTTGAATAATGTAGTTAATCTACTATAATTAGTTTGTTTAATGTCGAATCATATCAATTTGTTTTAAAGCTCAATAAATAACAAAGAAGACCTTTAACCGGCACTTATCTAATTTTGTCCGGAAGATTTCAATTTTAACGGACATGTTGACCGGCAAAAAAATATTCTAACGGGAACTCTGGTGTGTGTGTGTGTGTGTGTGTGTGTGTGTGCCCACCGGGTCACTCCTGATGGTCTGTGCCAGCTGCTCTGTGAGTTTCTGAGACATCAAGCCGTTGCCCACCATCCTCATCTGGAGCCCCTCCACCGCTGCCACCATGCTGCCTGCTGCTATCATGGAGGGGGGGCTGGCAATAAACTTCACATCTGCAACACAATGGAACTTAACATTAATATGGCACATTTTAAATAACAAGTGACACAACAATAGACAACCAATAACAACATTTTTTAACTCAAACTTCCATGCACAGGGTTTGGAGGGTTACTTTAAAAATGAATTATGTTAACATTACTAATATGAGAAATAGTAATCAGTTGCTTAATCGAAGTATCACCAGATAAAAGTCATATAACCGTGACTTTTTGTTACTGTTAATTTACTTCAGTGTCAAATGCAATGCTAGTAAAGAGCATAGTATAGCTCACAAAGTACAAATCTGCTCTCTTATTGGCAGAGATGATGCTTTCAATAGAATATATTGAGTAGGAGCGCCCACAGTATTTCAATCAAACTAGATGTCCAACTCCTGAAGCAAATACAGGAGATAAAGGCCCACAGGATTCTAGAGACAATTATAGTGAATAGTATACTTTAGAAATGTGGTTTTATTTCAATACATGAATTAAAAGCAAACATTATTTATTTTGTGCATATCAGGGTAACTGTAATGACATACAGTTACAGCTTTTTGTATTCTAATGACATCATCTCGTTATATGTCATCTGTTTCTCACCAAGCCTGTCATACAAAACAAACACAGGGGCTGGGTTCATGGGCAGGTGGCGTTAAAGGGAACGGTTAGACATTTAAATATGACCCAGGAAGTCCAGTTGGAATAATAGATAGAGGTTGTAATGTCCCTTCACTATTCCCCTCATGAAAGTATTATTAAAACATTAACCAGCAGCAGTAATTAATCATTTATTTGTGTTTTTACTGGCTGCTACTTTAATACCTCAGACTGTAACGCTGTCTAAGAGACAATTACATTACATTACATGACATTACATGTTACTTGTTAGACGCTTTTATCCAAAGCGACATACATACTCAATACTGTGGACAATCCCCACAGGAGCAATTTGGGGTGAAGTGTCTCAGGGACACAACGACATGCTGACTGCAGTGGGGTTTGAACCTGTGACCCCCTGATCCCAACACCAAGGCTCTATCCACTGCGCCACACGCCTCAATCACTGTCATGTGTGATATACCATTTTTCTATAATTTATCAAGGGTTTAATTGGTTGCTACTGTGTCACCTGTCCACTTACTTTCCCTCTAATACCGTTTTTTTGTAGATCTTTTGTGTGTTTTGGTTATTTTGGAGCGGTTACAGATTTGGACTTTTATTGCCTCTTCGGCAGCCTTTTCGATTGCGAGACAACCATTTAACAACTGTGTCACAGCTGAGAGGAAACAATCTCTTCAGTGTTATTCCACCTTTCAGAGGGGTCAGTCTGCAGCAGAATACTGTGAAATACATGAGGACGGCCTTAACAGCGAATGGGAGCACTCTCTCCTGATGTAAAAAGAGATGTATGTAATATAGCCCCATGCGTACCTGTGGCACACAGAGCCACGAAGGTCTGAGCGTGCTTCCTGAGGATGGGCCTGTTCTCTCTCCTGACAGCCAGCTGAGACAGGAAGTGGTCGATGAAGTCAAGGGGGGTCACTGAAGCCAGGTCCCACTTCAGCTTATTCAGAACCAGCAGCTCCATTTGCTGTGTGGACAGAAGGACAGGTTCAAGTTTGATCCCTCAGACAGATGCAGGGATTAACAGAGATGGGGACGAAGGGGTTCGGTCTACATGTGGGGATTTTTGGCTTTAAGGTGAACAAGGAAGGTCAGGGGTCATCAAAACCCATTAGGGAGCCTCCTCTGGGGACCATGATGGAGTGTTGGTCACTGGGTAATGTATCTTGGTGGTGGAGCTTCAAGAATCGGCCTAGAGATGACTAAACATTTTAGAAGCTTTACCCCTGGGACAATAATATCCAAGCTGATCCAGCCAGAAGTCGAGGAAATGTCTGGATCGAAGAAATCGTTCAGATGGGCAGGCCTGATGCCAGACATAGGGAAATAAGTGATATACTTATGAGCTTTGCCTATTGTATCCCCACTAAGACTAGCTTTGTGGTGGACTAATCTTTTTGGCTTAGGAAGGTTCTTAACGGAGGGAAATGACCCAGAAGTATCTAAGTGGTATTTTTGCACAAGACACCCTGGACCATCCTTTAGGAAAGGAGGACTTGCAGCCGCAACTTTAAAAGTGACCCACCAGTCAGCTGTTCTTTAATCAAGCATTGGTAATGAGGTCATATCTTTGTTCTGGTTTTCCAAGTTGCCTGCCATAAACAACACCATAAGAACGCACGGGGTATCTAGAAGCACTTTCAGTAGTCCATAAGGAAAATGTTTAGTTTTCCCACAGCAGACACACATCTGTAACCTCCAGGTGTCACACAATAAGAACATCGCTCAGTGTAAATGCAGTTTGACTACTTGACCGAAGCCCGAAGTGCTGTGCTGTGACGGAGACCTACCAGCAGCTGGGTGGGTGTGATGGAGTTGTCGGTGTAGATGCAGAGTTTTTCGGCACTGAGTGGCATTGTCTCCTTCAGTTTGGATGCCAGGAACATGCAGACGGCCCCCAGCAGCTGCAGGTGGCTCTTCTTGGTGGGTTCCACAGACAGGAAGCGGTCCATGTAGTTCATCGCCAGAGGGAAGACCTCCTCCTCACACTTCTGCTCCTCACAGACCTGCACACACAAACCAGACACACTGCCATTAAACACTGTTTCTTATTTAGCTCATAAGAAGAATTCACTTTCAGTTCACTTTGATTCACAGAGGGCTACCACTGCAATATCTGGCCAAGCGTTATCATGACTTCCATGATGTCCACGAGTGAGGATTATCGATATCAAATCTGCAGAAAAGACCACTGGTGTCAGTTTCAAACAACACTAAGAGTTTAAGTATCTGAATAAAGAAATGGTGAATCACATGTTTCCTTGTATAGTTTATCAAGAGTTCACAAGCCAGCGTGGATCCTATCTAAGATTGAGGGGATCCTGTTTGAGATGATGCAGTTTTCAACAGTTTGCTGCCAAAAATAAAACTCCAATTAAAAGGGAAAAATGGAATGGATATAAAATGTTAAATGTTTAAGGTATCGCAAAGAACATGAATCATGTTAACAGGGATTCAACTGTGCGTAATAAGGTATAGGTTATTTATTTATTTATGCCATGACAATAAGAAAAAAAGAACGAAAATTACCAGAAAAAAATATTGGAAAATATTAATAAAATCACAATTTTGATAATCAATGATTAAAGTAAATTATCAATTCAGTTTCATTAAAGTGAGAATGTTTTGCAAATCTTGGTTTCATGTCCTTAACTATAACCTCTTGGCAAAAAGAAAAAGAGTGGTGTGATTTTGTAGGGGCTTGGACTGGGAGCTGTAGGGTCGCCGGTTCAAGTCCCCGACCAGACCTAAATATGGAGTGTGGACTGCTACTTGGAGAGGTCCCAGTTCACCTCCTGCCCTGCCGTGTTGCCCTTGAGCAAGGCACCGGACACCCCCCTTCCCCCCCACTCCCATTGCTCCCCGGGCGCTGTACAATAGCTGCCCACTGCTCCTAGTACTAGACTCCTGGTACTAGGATGGGTTAAATGCAGAGTGTGCTGTGTGCTCTGCATGTGTGACCATTAAAGAGGGTTTCATCCCTCCCTATTCTATTCTTCTTCTTCTATTCGATATGGCCTAAGGGATTTAGTCAGTAGTTCAAGAAAACATGTCACTCTCAGATAATGGTATGGTGTTGTCATTGCAACACAACAACTTAGGCTCAACAGCTTTATGCAAGAAGACAACGGGCATTACAATAACAGTTATGCACATACAGTAGGAGTCCCAGTTACTGTAGGATCTACACATAGAGCATGTTACTGTAGCTCTGAGGACCAACATGGAGCCTGAAGAGGTCAAACCTGAGCCCTTTAAACTTCCTCACGTTCACCCCCCAACACAAAGGCATCGCGTGGTCTGCAGAGAATGGCAGCTCGAAACAACTTACAAAATGTAAAAAAATATATATTTAAAGTCTTTTGAGCACATATTAGTATGCATTATTTGTGGATCTTGGTTTTCTTGCTACAGCGTTAAGTTGAACTGGCATGTGAGCATGGAAGTAGTTATTGTACGCAAGTGAAGACGTAGTGTATGGAAGCTATGGGAACTTTAGTCTTCTTTATTATCTGTTAAAATCACTAGCCAACGAAAGGCAGAGCATTTTTGCCTTATAACAGCCTCTTTAATTTATTGTGGACCAGTATCAACAAGTCTACCCATGGAGTTTCAAGTATTCGAAAGTCCAGTAAGTTACTAATTTAACACCAGTGGAAATCCCTTTTGCTGCTTTTTTTTTTGCATTACTGCATTTTAAATTGTCTAACAATACAATTAAAAAAAACGCATAGGCTCATTTGCACCCTTTCTTCCTCTCTCCCCCTGCTTACCATCAGCAGAGTGGGTAGTGAGCAGAGTGGTTACAGGTTACATACTTTTAATGGAGATGAAGGCTTCTTAAAAGTGAACTCTGCAGAGGAACTTTAAATTCCCAGGTCTGTGAACGCCACTGCCTCTCACCCACCATCATGTATCTGAGTTAACTCACCTCCAACATCCAGGTAGCCACTATCCTCCTCATGCACGGGACTATTTCTCTCTGGACGCATTTGAAGTAGTTGGCAGCGGGGAGGTACTTGTCTTCAGCCCGCAGCAGAGCGTTCAGGACCCGGTCATTCAACAGGTTGGAGTCCCGGTAGGCCCTCCGGACGACAGGCCTGTCCCCTTCACAGCACAATAACTGGGGGTCCATTCCCCGTGCCTGCAGCACTGTGTCTGTTTAAATGTGGTAACAAACCTTAAAAGTAACTTCGCATTAGCTAACAACTACTAATTAATAGCCGCTCCACATTTTGTTCTACAACTTTCTTTTTACTCGTGGGAGATATTACCACTTTAACAGTGGGAATGTTAGAAGTAGTGAATTGAATGGTCCCTTGTTTGTCTCCGTTAAGTCACTGTGCTAGTTTATTTCTTTTTCCGTCGGTCCTAAAGTTACTTCTTTTGTTGCACAGGGCGCTCGGAGGACCAGACGGAGCGGAGGCAGCATGTATGTTCAGCGACACCCCCCTGCCGCGGCGCAGCTTTATCAATGCCCGGCCGCGTCAAGCTGATTAGCATAAAGGATTACACTTCCGGCACAAGCTGTCAAAATAAAGCAGCACAGGTTTTAATTTATCATCTCTTTTTGAAGATCACACACTATTTAAAAAGGTCGTTTCCCCAACATTAGGTGGTGGTGGAGGAGGTGTTTGGATCACTTACTTTAGTTAAAGAACTTAAAGCACACTGTAAACATACTGTGGTAAAACATATTCAGTCTATGGGTAAAACATATTCAGTCTATGGGTAAAACATATTCAGTCATGTAAGTATATCCCAATTATTAAGGATAAATAAGAAAGTATTAAAGTAATAGCAAAGACATGACATGTTTTACAAGTGTCTTAATATATCAATATAGTAATTAATTATTTTCTTAATCTTTCAGTTGTCAATATGTATCTAATTGTGGATCGTTTATTTTGTTTAAACATCTTATTTTATATACAACAAAAAATACTTCTAATAATCTTGGTTTATGTAGTTAGTACAGATGTCAGATCAATATAGTGAAGTTGGATGTAAAGGATGTGTATACTCACTTTAGTTTACATTAGGTAGTATCATATTAAAGTATTTATGGAAAATGTTGATGAGCAAGTCAAGCATATGATTTGATGTAGCCAAGAAATTAAATATTGAACTTTTGCTGGACTGACAAATGTCGTTCCTCTTATTTTGAAGAAAGATGTACTTCCGGTACCAGAGATAGACTTGGCTAACTTGATAAAAGAGAGCATGAAAGAGAGAGAGTGATTGCGTGAGAGAGAGACCAAAAACTAAAAATGAAAGCTACAAAAAACTTCGGCAATAAAGAGTAATAGTTTTGTGGGAATGATTACAATGTTCAGGCACTACAATCTATAGTTATTGTAATAACTGTCCTTGACTGATACTTTGTTAAATCATGTACTACAAAAACACTATTTTCAGAGATGTATGAAGTAGGTGAGGAGAGGGTTAAAAAGAACAACTACTCTGCTTTCACTTTAGAAACATCGAAAAAATATGTTTTCATAAAATGTCATTTCAATTTGAGGGTTTAGCTTTAATGAACTACATTCAGAATGATACTCCCCCATAGAGTTACTGTCTTACTGTGCTTTATTATTGGCACATTTTATTGTTAGTGAACCTGCAACACACACACACACACACACACACACACACACACACACACACACACACACACACACACACACACACACACACACACACACACACACACACACACACACACACACACACACACACACACACACACACACACACTCTGTCTGACTAACGTAATGCTGTTATGACACCCGCAGTATTGTGACTCTGTTTGTCCAATTAGAAAATGGAGCACAATAAACACAGCTTTTAGACATTTTAAAATTAATTTAAAGTCCAAATCAACTATCCTGGATTGGTTACTGTATAACGTTTTAGTTCTTTTAATTTAGTTCCTGAGAAATCATGTTTTTTCCATCATTTTGCAATGGGGGAGGAGTCTGTAAATCTTACCACCATGCCACTGGAGAATAAGGCCCCGGCCCCACGAGGACGAAACGGGTTGTATCTGCATAGTTTCTCTTGCGTATAGCCCTTTCATTTACACGAGGCCGTAACAAAACGATAGGAACGGACCCCGCAAACGATAACGGGTCCCAAGGTGGATAGATCTACAAACGGAACGCTCCGGGGGGTCTAACGGCTCCGTGTAATCGCCTCTATACAATCATTTTCTGATAACGATGAAATAGCCCCGCCTCCCTCTCCCCACGTCTCCTGCTCAGATTTAAACTTTAACGGACATGTTGACCGGCGACATTTTTTTTTAACGGAAACTGCCGCATGGTCCCCTCGTCCCTTGGAAGAGGCGGAGAGGTGGGTGTTTTTCATCTGCTGGTGGACGAAAAACACCGGTGGACGAAAAACACCGGTGGACTCCACACGCCGTCCACCGCGGAGAATAAACAGAAGGCGCGTTACGGCTCAGAAGCGTCCCAGAAGCGTCTCAGAAGCGTCCCAGAAGCGTCTCGGCGCAGGGCTCCTCTAAAATTAGGATGAATCCTATTGTTGACGCGACGCAGCCGTAACGTAATGTCGGGCAGGCAGGAAGTGGAACGTTCAGAGCATATATAGCATATATATATAGATATATACACACACACAAACTAATTTTGCAGACCCTATCCCTCCGTAGTCTTTCAAGTAGGAGGAGAAATGCCAGCGTTCTCCTCCGGTTTACAGGCACTGTGTAAATGATATATATAGAATAATTATGATGACGGATGCATTTTTTTACCACTAAAATACAGCAACACATCTTTGATTCATGTCGTTTATAACTGGAATATTACAGTTATTATTAATGTAACGCGACGCAGACGGACCCGGTGGAAATTAGGGGTAAGTCAATCTAAGCATGTTGTGAATAAAAGACAGCACCATAGTTGATGAATTAATCTTAATCCAACACAATCTTTTTTTTAAACTGCAGATTGTGGGAGCGGCAGAGGTGGAATATAAGTATATCAGATCTACTCAATTAAAAGTAATGGTACAACAAGTTACGGGTTAAATGCCTGTATTCTCAGTACTACAATTACATTAGTATCAACAGCAAACTAAATGTAAAGTATAAAAGTAAAGGGATTCCTTATGCACAATGGATTCTTTCAGTTGGTTAAATGATGGACTAATCAAACTCCTAAAAGTTAATTATTTTCTCTCTTATGCAGACATTATCTTGGGCAACAACATATGCAACTTTGCCCAACTCCACCCTGAGTCTAATCAGCTTCATGACTCCAAACACCTGTGGGTTTGCAAAGCATCAAAAGTATCACATTTCATATGTTCATATTTCATTATTTGTTTCGTATGTAAAATCATAGTAAGAATGACCTTTATCTGAAAAATACAATATTTCCTCTGAAAGTTGTTTAGACTTACACATTTGCAAATACATTGGATACTCTAACATATAAAAATTGCACTGTAGTTAACCCAATGCCAGTGGTGTATGTCACACAATTCAAAGCTTCGAGATTGGATGGTTCATAAAACTGCAAATTGTAGTTATATTCTCATTCAAAATCTTTGAATACACAAGCTTGTATATTTAAGTTTTGATAATCAAGATATATTCCAAAATAGGGAGAAGTGATCATTGTCTACAGGAAAGAGTTGCCATTTATTCAACTCAATTTAATGAGAACTTATTGGCAATGGCAATTGTGGCATGTTGATACATTTCAAAAGCATTACATCCCTTGTACCCTTCTAGTAGTAGTATTTTATTTTAAGAGGTACTTTTTCCCATAGGAACCAATAGGATTTGGGTAGCCAGCGATGGACTAACACATTGTCGCTTATGGTGTCTATGGATTTGTTGAATACAAATCAGGAGTCTGAACAAATTAAATCAAAGATTGGTCATCTGAACACACCTCAAAAACGAGTGTAGATACGTTTTGGGTCTGCTTTCTTGGATGGACAATTCCTCTCACACAATACACGCTTGGATATGCTCCAGCGATTCCTGAGCCTAACAAGGGAAGATGGGAAATAAAATATTCATAGACTGTGACTTGAGAAACCATGGATCTCACATGTGTAGAGCACTCCTTACATTTTACTGTAAAACTCTCACTCCTTGACAAACAGAGATCTAAGTGAATTGACTTCAGTGTGTAGATGTCCATAGGAGAGAGCCGGAGACACAGTTCTGTGTGGCAACGTCTCTCTCTGTCTGTGTGTGTGACCTTTAACCTCAGTTCCTCAGGGTGGCCGCGTCCAGGGTCATACTCTGGACGCGGCATACAATAGTCGTCTAAAGTTTCTATTGATACGTTTTGATTGATCCCTCTTACAATAGAGCCTGATCTGTGGTGATCAGCTTCGCTAGCCTTCTGCCATGTCATCCATTATAGTTTCTGGATGTGAGTTGGGCTTCATAACAAGATACAGATCATATATGAGAATATTGTTCTCTTTAGGGAATGAGCATCTAGGACCTGACAGCACATTTGTATGCCTAGTTTTTGTAAAAAATATTGAAATGCTTATCCGTGAATTTAATCCAATGAATCTTAAAGTTCTGTACCACATTGTACGCAATTTTCCAATTAAACATACATCCACAGCTTTACAAAGATGCTAACTAAGATAAAAGCAGGTGGAGGATGAAAGAGACTGAGTGTGTGAACCCAGGAATAATGCCGAAGATGAATGTGGTGGCAGCTATAGAGAGCAAACAGAGGTCTCCATGCTGAGGAATCCAACCTAACCATCTTTCACTGGAGATTAATGAAAAGAAATGGACCTGACCGAGTGACTTCACAGAGACAGAAAGGGAGAGTAATGGAAAATCAGAGGCAGTTACTTGGCTACTAGTGTTGGGTCATTTGAAATGGAGCTGTCAACTAACATTTCTTTTAAAATAACCATTGTAATCAAACGAACATGATTTATATTTAAACAATGACGAATATTCATTGTTGCAACTACAACTTCCCTAAAGTTAATTTACTTAACGGGGAAAGTCTATTCAGTCAGGGGACCAACCATTGTAGTGTCTGGGAGATAAATACATTTAAATGAGAAATACATTTACTGAGGAAATATTACTGGAATCTCACATTTCATGGTTCAGTTGTATGATTCTATAATGAGAATTGTTTGCATAAGAGTATCAAAAAAGATTACAGCAAGGAAAAATAAAGCTAATGCTAAATTGAAACATAATGCTAATGAAGACAGACCCCACTAGGAAATTATACTGTCCATATGGTGCAAGTGAAGAAGTCAAGTGACGTCGTTACAGAGTCACAAAGTCCGCAGAAGGAGGATGGCTCAACAAAAAAACGAACTTTGCTGTTCAATCAATTTTCGTTTCTTGCCGCGTGTCAACGTGGGTTTCTGTTCATTATGACCAAGCTCTTTCCCTAACCAACTCATTGTTTGTACCGATCTAATTTTACCGCAGTTTTGTTG